AATTTCAGGTCTTTTACATTTGTTGAAGAGTGTTTTGCTTCCAATTATGTATTCAACTTTAGGGTAAGTGCATGTGGTGTTGAAAAGAATATATATTCTGTTGAATTTGGGTGGAGAGTTCTGTAGATGTCTATCAGGTCCACTTGATCCAGAGTTGAGTTTAGGTTCTGAATATCTTGGTCAATTTTCTGTCTCAGTGGTCTAATATGGTCAGTAGAGTGTTTAGCTCTCCCACCACTATTGTGTAGGAGTCTAAGTCTTTTTGTATATCTCTAAGAACTCGCTTTATGGATTTGGGTGTTTCTGTATTGCGTGCATATATATTTAGGATAGTTAGCTCTTTTTGTTGAATTAAATGAACCCTTTATCATTTTATAATACCCTTCTTTGTCTTTTTTTAAATCTTTGTCAGAAATTAGGATTGCAGCCCCTGCTTTTTTCTGTTTTCTATTTGCTTGGTGAATTTTTTCCTATTCCTTTATTTCGAGCCTATGTGTGTCTTTGCATGTGAGATGGATCTCTTGACAACAGCGTACTGATGGATCTCAGCATACCAGTTTGCCATTCTGTGTTTTTTAATTGGGGGCATTTAGCCCATTTTCACTTAAGTTTAGTATTGTTATGTGTGAATTTGATCCTGTCATCATGATACTAGCTGGTTATTTTGCAGACTTGTTTATGTCGTTGCTCACGGTGTCACTGGTTCGCATACTTCAGTGCATTTTTGTAGTGGCTGCTACCTATTTTCCCTTTCCATATTTAGTGCTTCCTTCAGAAATTCTTGCAAGGCAGGCCTGCTGGTAGCAAATTCCTTCAGCATTTGCTTGTCTGAAAAGGATTTTATTTCTTCTTCACTTAGGAAGCTTAGTTTGGCCAGATATGAAATTCTGGGTTGAAAATGTTTTTCTTTAATAATGTTGAATATTGGCCTCCAATCACTTCTGGCCTATAGAGTTTTTACTGAGAGGTCCACTTTTAGCCTGATGTGTTTCCCTTTGTAAGTGACATGGCCTTTCTCTCTCATTGCCCTTAACATTTTTTCTTTCATTTCAACTTTGGAGAATCTAATGATTATGTGTCCTAGGGTTGATCTTCTCATGGAGTATCTCACTTGCATTCTCTTCATTTTCTGAGTCTGAATGTTGACGTGTCTTGCTAGGCTGGGGAAGTTCTCCTGGATAATATCTTGAAGTATGTGTTCCCACTTGGCTCCATTCTCCCCATCTCTTTCAGGTACCCCAATCGGTTGCAGGTTTGGTCTCTTTACCTAAAGCAGCTGACGACCATCTCCAGCCCAACTCTTAGCTATACTCTGGTGTATGAGAGTGTATTCATTCATCCATCACTGAATCAGGGTCTGCAGGACAGACCTCCGTAGATGGTGTTCAATGTCTCAGGTGGTGACCCTGACATGATACTCATCACAGCTGGTGCCCAATCAGGGGCACCAGCTGTGGCATTGATCACATCAGTTCTCTTCACACTGGGGCACCAGCTGGCATTGGTCACGTCAGTGGGTCCCTGTTCAGGCGCCAGCTGTGACAAGTATCATGTCGGGGTCACCACATGAGATGTTGATCACCACCTGTGGAGGTCTGTCCTGCAGACCCTGACTCAGTGACAGATGAATAAATGTACTCTCACACACCAGACTACAGTGTAAAAGTTGGTCATCAGCTGATCTCAGAGGGTGATTGCAGCTAACCGATCCCCACTCCCTGTTTCTCCTCACATTTATTCAGTATAAATTTAACAACAGAGGTTTTAAGTCAACATGCTTGTGGGTAATTAAATTGGTTAAAAGAGTGGTTTTATGAATATAAAAGGTCTTGGTTCTGGGGCCCAGAATAAACACATTAATGGGTAATTCCCCTTTGACTGCCCCCTGAGAGGACCATCCAGCACAAAGTTTACATGAGTAAACAAATTAGAGTAGGGACAAAGGAATGTGGGGTAAACAGACTTACCTGGGGAAGCTTCTATTATCCTCATCTTTACCCTATGACTTAATGCTCTAAGGTAAGAACTGGTTGCCTTCAGCCAGTCTCATTAAAACGTTTTGGCCTTCCAGAAGGTTTGAGACTATAATCTATAACTTCCCTAATATTTCCCTTAATATTTTGCCAGTCACCTGAGTGGATCCCAACAATATAACTCCATATTTCTTGAAGGTTTTGTTCATTCCTTTTCATTCTTTTTTCTCTCTTCTTATCTGCCTGTCTTATTACAGAAAGATAGTCTTCAGGCTCTATGATTCTTTCCTCCACTTGGTCTATTCTGCTATTGATATTTGTGATCAATATCTTGTGTGGTGGGTTTCAGCTCCATCAGATTGGTTATGTTCCTCTCTTAACAGGCCATTCTGCCTATCAGCTCCTGTATTGTCTTATTATAATTCTTAGCTTCTTTGTATTGCGTTAGAACATGCTCCTTTAGCTCAACAAAGTTTGTTATTACCCAGCTTCTGAAGCCTAATTCTGTCAGTTCAGCCATCTCAACTTCAGCCCAATTCTGTGCTTTTGCTGGAGAAGTATTATAGTCATTTAGAGAAGAAGAGGTACCCTGGCTTTTTGAGTTTTCAGCATTTTTGCATTAACTCTTTATTATCTTTGTGTGCTTATCTACTTTTGATCTTTGAGGTCACTGACTTTCAAATGGGGTTTTTGTGAGGTCTTTTTTGTTGATGCTGTTGTCTTCTGTTTGTTTTTCTTTCAGTAGTCAGGCCACATTTCTGTGGGGCTGTTGCAGTTTGCTGAGGGTCCACTCCAGACCCTAATTGCCTCAGTTTTTCCTGTACCTGGAGGTATCACCAGTGAAGCCTGCAAAACAGCAAAGACGGCAGCTTGCTCCTTTTTCTAGAAGCTCTGTCTCAGGAGTGTACTGGCATGTTGCCAGCCCAAATACACCTGTAGGAGGTGGCTAGGGACCCCTGTTGGGAGGTCTTACCCAGTCAGGAAGAATGGGATCAGGGATCTACTTAAAGAAGAAGTCTGGCTGCTTTTTGGTTGAGCAGGTGTGTTGCATTGGAGGGTCCCCTCCTTCTCCAGACTCTCTGGACTCTCCAAAGCTGGCAAGCTGGAAGAGCTGAGTTGACTGAATGGAAGAGATGGTGGCCACCTCTCCCCACAACTCTGTCTTAGGAAGAGTTCGAAGCTCTATCTGTATAACCTTGGTTGGAGTCGCTGAAGTCCCTGCAGGGAGGTCCCACCCAGTGAGAAGTGATGGATGGGGGTCCCACTTAAAGAAGCAGTCTGGCCATGATCTGGCAAAGCAGCTGTGCCATGTTGTAGGGGACTCTTCCACCTCTGGATCATTTGAACTCTCCAAAGCTGGCAGGCTGGAATGGCTAAAGCCAGTGAATGGCAGAGATGGCAGCCACCCCTCCCCCCAATAATTTTCATATTAGGGAAATGAAATTTTTGTTATATTGGGTTAAATACAAATGCATAATGTAAATTAATATTACCTGCTTGTTTCTACTTTTGAAATGTGATTATTAGAAAATTTAAAATTAAATGAGTGACTCACATTAAATTTCTGTTGGACAACACTAGTTTCTAGCATAGAGAACATCTTGGCTATTTCTCAAAGATTTCACTGTTCATGTGCCTCATAGCAGAAAAACACAGAAATATGGCTAATCCATGTTATAACAGATGCAATGCAGGTATACAGGTCACCAACTAAATTGCAAGTTCCATAAAGGCAGGGACTATTGCTTATCACTGCATTCCCAGCACCTACATCATCAGGTACTTAGTGGATGCTCCAGAAATATTTGTTGAAAAAGAATGAATGAATAGTACTATTCCCAGGTTTCTCAGTGCTGAGCAATTGTGAATGTTCAATTAATGTAAGACGATTGAATCAGATTTCATTCAGATGGACAGCATAGTGGAAAGAACATTAATGTTGGAATTAAACATACTTTGCCAATTATATGACCATGGGCAATTTGTTTTAATGGACTTTTAAAGAAGTTATAGCTTTCCACCATGGATAGTTTGAAAAAAAATTAAGAAAATATGCATACACCAAAAAACAGAAAGAAAAACATGTTTAAAGATCATTTCATGCAGCTGTATGCTGGTAAGTGTTCAATTAGTTCTTGATTGGGTGAGTGTATTCATATATAGATACAATTTATATTTAGTATAAATTTTATTGACTTGAAAAATGTGTAGCACACAGTTTCATTAATGATAATAAAATATACAATAGTCTTTATTTTAAATTCCATAAAGAATTTATTTTGCTGAGAGGGCACTAGAAGATAAATTCCAATTATTCTCACAGAATGCTTTCACTGATTTTGCTAAGCACTTATATCCCTAAGCAGCCTATAGTTGTAATTAATGTGTGAGTATAGTTCCAATACGAACATTGGTTGATATTTTCATTTAAGTTAAATAATAAGAAAAAAGTTATTCAACAAAGATGTACATATTGGAGTTTCATTTGTTTATCAATGACATGAGCAGCTTCTTTGCTGAATTCAATAATGGTTTCCAAATACCAAAAGAATACTTCCTATTTTTTTGTGCTATTCACAATGTAATGGCTACAGATATTACACACTTTTAAGTTTAATCTGCATTCCTCCATTGCTATTTTACGTCTACAGCAACAATCATCCAAACAGCAAATCAAGACCTAGTTTATAGCAATCGCCTATTTCTGTGGGGTAAATAGTCCTACCATGGCTGATATGAAGACATGCAGAGTTGGAAAGACATGCCCACAGGTTCTCCATTGACAAAGGACAGATACAATAGATATAACTTCAAGAGCATTGACAGATAGAAAAAGTCAAAAAAGGATTAGAAAATGATCAGTTTTGAGTATTTACTACCTTTATTTTTAACATAATTTATTTAAGCTTTTATAATTTAATTTTTAATGATAGCTTGCAAAATTTCTGAGAATTTAACAATTGGCTCCCACAAAGTAGTACAAGCCAGCTCCAGCTCACCACTGGCTCATGTGTCTGCCCCTCCTAGGTCGGCTTGGGAAACCAAAAATTACACAGAGTTTAATGACATCTGTGAACAGCACCTGTAATGTCACACTGACATGCTCTGTGGAGAAAGAAGAAAAGAATGTGACATACAGATGGAGTCCCCTGGGAAAAGAGGGTAATGTCCTTCAAATCTTCCAGACTCCTAAGGACCAAGAGCTGACTTACACGTGTACAGCCCAGAACCCTGTCAGCAACAATTCTGACTCCATCTCTGCCCAGCAGCTCTGTGCAGGTAACCAGCTCTGTTCTTCTCTCCTGGTGAGTCCCAGCGATCCCTCTGAGGAGCTGCAAGGTCTGAATGTGGGCCACATTCTCTAGAGAAATGTGCTTCCTTTAAGTTTGGTCTAGTCCTGGGGGCATGACCTCTCAAGTAGCCCACTGAGAAAGGGGCCAAAGCCTTCTGAGAGATGCTAGACATGTCTGGGTGTTCCGTGGCAACCCCTGCTCAACTCTCTGATCCAGTTTCTCATCCTGGCTTTTAATAGCAGAAAGTTTAGTTTCCCCGGGAGCTTTGGCACCCCTTTGGAGAGCACCCAGTTTTCATAATTCCCCTCACTGTGGACAAACCTGTCCAGCCTCTTGAGCCTCGTTCCAGAGAATCAAGACTCATTGCATCTTCTATTTTCAGATATCCCAATGAGCTTCCGTACTCACCACACCAGTTTGCTGAGCATGTTGGCTATATTCTTTCTGCTTGTCCTCATTCTATCTTCAGTGTTTTTGTTCCGTTTGTACAAGAGGAGACAAGGTAGGATTTTCCCAAAAGGTAAAATGTGGAAACTCACCTTCTTTCTTCCCAGGACTGAAGCCATTTATCCAAGGTGCTGCAGAGAGGTCCGTTGTTCCAGGCAATCAGTCTTCCTCCAATCCCCACCCCACCACCTCCCAGAATGAAGGCTCTGAGGATGGTGTGACATTACCCTGAATGGTCTTCAGAATCCATTCCTGTGAACACCAGTATCTGGTGCGCCCAGAACATGGGTTCTAGTTTAGTACCTACATGAACAAGCTGTGCTTCCTTGGACGAATATGTTCACCTCTCCAGCTCAGTGTCCTCACATGTGAAATGTTTGGGCTAGAGGATCTCCAGGGTCACTTCCAATTTCATTGTATTTTGATGATGACCACTGGAGAGTCACTGAGAAACATGTTCTAATTCTGTATTCCATGGTTGTCACTAGATCCCTCTGAATCCCTCTGATCATTCTGTAGTTGTGCCATTCCCAATTCAGAAAATCTAATCTTAGAACCCCAAGGAATCATTACACCCTCCTATTCACCCACATCCCATGTCCGCCCAAGACACATTTCACTCCCAGTCAGTCTCGGGGTGGAAGTCTCAGTTTGGACCATTTATCAGCTACCAGTTATTTTAGCATTGTAAGCTTCCATTTACTCAGTTGTAAAATATTCACAGTAATAAGGTGTGCTGCATATACTTATTAAGTGAATGAAATGGAATTAGAAATATAAAATACTTTGCCCAATTCCCAGTACATAGTAAGTGCTTGGCAAATGTTAGTTAGTCAGTATACTGATAACTGATGGGCCTGAGGCATGATACGGACGAGGCGTTCTAGGGGGAAGGGGATTTGTGACATCTGTCATACTCAAATGGCCTCACCATGGGAGAATTCACAGCCTGCTTGAGCCACAGGTGATCTGCAAGGTCCTGCAAAGAGATATCGGTCTTCAATCCCTCACTGCCTTTTGGGAAGAGAAAAGGGCTATTCTCTGCATCTATAAATGAGATAAGAGAGAGCATTCAGTTTGTCTCATACTCACCAAATATGAGGCAGGGACTGGGACAGGACTAAACTCTGAATGTTGGAGCTCTGTAATACTGCTCAGCTCAGACCTGCTATTTGCAGATATGTTGGTGCCCTGGATTATGAAGGCCCAAAATTCTGGTCATCTTTTTTCACCTTGACCCTAAAATGTTCTGTGTTAGTACCAAAGCAAAGGAGTACACTGACATGAATGTCTCTTCTAGTCCATACATTCTTAAAAGGAAAGACTTACCTACTGTCTTTTCTTCTTTGGGGCCTCACACAGAGCCTGGCACATAGAAGGGGCTTAATAAATGTTTACTAACTGTGTGGATTGGCCAGGCACCATGGCTCATGCCTGTAATCCCAGCACTTTGGGAGATCAAGGCAGGTGGATGGGCTGAGCTCAAGAGTTCGAGACCAACCTGGGCAACACGGTGAAACCCTGTATCTACCAAAAATACAAAAATTTGTTGGGTGCGGTGGCACATACTTGTAGCCCCAGCTATTCAGGAGGCTGAGGTGGGAGGATCACTTGAGTCTGGAAGGCAGATGTTGCAGTGAGCCATGAGTGTGCCACTGCACTCCAACGTGGGTAACAGAGTGAGAGACCCTGTCTCAAAAACAAAGACAAATTGCGAATCAATCAAACAAGCAATAAATGCTCGTGGAACATCCACTGTGTGCTTAACATTGAGATGGTTACAGCAAGGTCTGCACCAAAAGAATGCAAAACTGTGTACACCTAGAGAGAGTCAATCAAGTTAAAAAACTAAGACTGTGACATGGAAAGTCAACTAGCCATGCAAGACAGACAGTCAGTGGTAAATGACAGAGAAATGAAGGGAGATCCTGGGTGGGAGAGCTTCCTTTGACTGCCCATACAGGGAGGGGTAGGGAAATTCTCTTTGGCCTAATCTGGACTCTAGAGTAGAAGAGAATTCCCACTGAGCTTGAGGCGTCAGCCAGGTGCCTCCTGAGACATTCTGAGGATCCAAGCATCCATCTCAAATGATGGGAGCCATTTAGCCCCTGGCAGCTTCCTTTTTTCATTTTAAAAAGAGAACATTGGAATAGATCATCTCTAAAAAAACCCACCATTCACAGACTGTGGATCTATATGTATTTGTGAGACAGATGCTGCCTCAAAGAAAACCACATACACATATGTCACGGCTTCAAAGGACACCCAGCCAGCAGAGTCCAGAATTTATGATGAAATCCTCCAGTCCAAGGTGAGCTGATGCTATTCATGGACACCCCTGTGCCACCATCTCCACGACAGGGGAGTCACGGGCAGCCATTGCCCTCTGCTTGTTGTTGTCTAGAAAGTAGCCACGGCCAAGAGTCTGGAGGGTCCGACCAGGAATGCCATGTCAGGGAAGTGATGCCATGGATCTTTCTATGAGGACAGGAACGTGACCCATTGTCACCCCATGACAGCCTCCACGGGCTGAGGCCCTGAGCTCCCCACAGTGGGCCTGGCTCCAGGTTAGATGAGCCATGATTAGGAGTAAGGCGCCCCCTAGAGGGGCCACACAACAGAGGAGCTCCTGGTGTTAGGCGAGGGCTGTCATGTGGCAGGTTGCTAAGGGAGCTCCAGGCTGCAGAACTGACAGAGGAGTTCCCTCGAATGCCCCTCCTGGTCTAGCAGCAGCGGCTTGCTTTCCTCAGACTCCTCTCCCTCCCCCGCACCCTGGATCACCTTCTCTTGTGTCCCCACCAGCCTGCTTCCTTGAAGTCTGCAAGGAATCAAGGGGGAAACTGAGGTCTGCCTGGTCAGTCTAGCGCTGTGTTTGGACTCATAGGGCCGCTGGATCCATAGAGCCCATGGAAAAATAAAATCCTGACTGAGCAGGATTCAGCCTGAACCGTGGGTCCCCCTCTTGGCCTCTGAGGTTTTTCACCACCGAGATCCTGCCCAGCTGCTACCCATTTGCCCCCACCTCATCCCTTCCTGATCCTAATCCTCTCCAGAGTTGAATGGAACCAGAACTGAGGCCAAGCGGGAAGCCACCTAGTAAATGTGAGACCAGGGAAGGACAGTGGGTAGAGGCAGAATTAGGAAGGGGGACTTGGAAGATTGGGCCTGGGCTCCCTCGCTGAGGGGAAGATGCGTGTTTTACAGGTGCTCCCCTCCAAGGAAGAGCTGGTGAACACAGTTTATTCCGAAGTGCAGTTATCTGATAAGGTAACCCCTTTCTGGCTTTTTAATCCCTGTTTTCCCATCTCTTCCAGCCATTCTGGTATACTCAGTCCATCCTACCAGGGGCCAGCTGGTTCCCTTGAGCCTCCTTGTAGTTCTCAGGACTTACTCCCTAGGGTTTTGGTCTATGCGTACTTCCACCCATGCACAGAGCCCCACTCCCCAGGCCAATGGCCACCCACAAGTTGTCCTACTTGGGATGCTTATCGCAACATTCAAATGCAGAAGTCCCTAGGCCTCTGAACTATGGCATGGGAACTCTAGCCCAGGAACTCCAGCCCGTATAATACCTGGGGCCACTGCCAGCTCATGATGTGAAAATGAGAAAACAGGTGCTTCCCTCTGAGCAGACACAGACCTATTCCAGATGCCCAGATGGGCACAACGGAGCAGAAGCTGAATTTCAGTTCATTTGTTCCCTCAGCTGCCCTTTCACCACACACAGCCTGCACAACCATTTGTAGTGTCAAGTGCCTTGTGCCATATGTTCTTTTCTGCCATATGCATAGCGCTGTGACAGGACTTTAACTTTGGGGCATCTAAGGAGGGATTGTCATATCTGAAGGCCCTCACTGCTGCTACAGTCAGGTCAGCTTTAGGGTTGCTTAAAGAATCAAATGTTTTCTAAGTATTCCTGTTTAATAGCTGAGTTACTAAGCAGGAAGCTAAAATGAGTAAGAATTAAGAGCAGATCCTATAAGGCAGTAGGAAGGATATCTATGAACTCGACAAGCAGGGCAGTGTACTTCCATTTAAGGAGGACTTGAAGCACAGAGCAGTTTGCTTGTAGAGATAAGCCAAATGGAGTGGACAACCAGAGAGAGGGACCTTTACTTCCTCAGTGATCGGGGAGGAAAGGAGGAAAGAAAAAGAAGGGGAGGAATGAGGAAAGAAGAGAAGGACAGGGAAGAAGTGAGGGTCAGGGCGCCCAGGATATTTGCAACTGTGATCCCAAGAAGAGTTAGAGGAAGAAGAGTAACCTAACTTTCTAGCAAGTGTAAAGAGGAAACAAAATTTGAGGGATTAATCAGGGAGTCCTGGATTGTGACATCTCAAGATAAATCCTTACAGACGAGTTAGATGACAGTTATTCGGTTAGTATTTAATTTAAAACCTAAGACTCCTCAAGCCAATAGGAAGGTTGTTTGTAGCCCTCTAAATGCTAGAGCACAGGGGATGCTAGCAGTGAGTCCCCACTATGTATAGGTGAAAGTAGAGTTATTGGGATACAAAAAAACAAAACAAACAAACAAAAAAACAGCAATAACAACAACAAAAAACAAACTAGGGCCCAACTAGGAACAAGCAATGCAGGCAGCTTGAACCTGAATGTTGCCTCAAGCCTATAATCAAAATCCATGCCAACTACATGCCCCCCTCCCCCCACTCCATGCCACCATTCCCACCCACTCCTCTTTTCTGAACTAAGAAGTTAATTGCCCAGGGCCTCCCAGATGGGGGCTGGCTGGAGCAGACACAGGGACCCAGCAAAGAACAAGGCCCTGCTACCCCAGGTTTCCCCAGCACCAGGCAAATCTAAAGCATCCCCCTGTGCCATTTGCTCAACTCCCCTGGGAACTCACAGGACTGGAGTTCCCCTGCAGTACCTTTCAGTTAACCTGTTCTCACATCTTCGTCTTCTGCACAGATGGGGAAAGCTGGCACACAGAACAGTAAACCTCCTGGGCCTTCAAGTTACGAAATTGTGATCTAGACTGCCGGGCTGAGTTTTCCCTCTGGAAACTGAATTACAACCACCAATATTGGCAGGTTCCCTGGACCCAGATCTCTGCCTGGCTCTTACTAGGAGAATGCAAATTGTCATATTTCAACATGTAAGCAAATCAGGAAACCTTCTGTTACTGGGCATAGCTTATGCCTAAGTGGACAAATGGATGCATACCCTTCCTGAAATGGCTCCCTTCTGGATGAATGACGAAGCAGGCTACCTAATATAGTGTTTCCCAAACTTCTTCCCATCGTAGTATATGTAGAAAATAATATTTTTATGGCACACCAGGGTAAACAATCAAGATTACTCACATCTGGAAGCTGCATATGACCAGAGACCTCTCGTGACTGAAGGTAACAAACCTGCCGAGCAACTGTGGGAGAAGGGGATCGATATTTTGCACACCTGTAACAGGCCATGGCACACCAGCCAAGATGCTCTGCTCACCTCACCGTCAATATGTGTGAAGATCCCCGGTGTGTGGCCTCCACCAGTCCCTACCTCACAAATTTGGAAAAGGTACCCTTCACTTGAGGCAGATGCAGCCCTTCCCCCGAGTGCATGGCTTGGAGAGCAGAATGTGGGCTGCACATAAGCACACGCATCCCTTTCTCTGGAAATCTTTGTGCAGGGCACAACATGCTCAGTACCTCCAAACACAAATGACGGTGTTGTGTGGGTCTCTGTCAGAGTTGTGGCTCTCAGCCATGTCAACACACTCTACAAATGGAGTGTTGGAAAATGTTCTTTCTGTAGGGTCTAGAGACTGCTGGGCATTTTTCGTGGTGTGCTACTTCAGAAGCCTCGTAGGATTTTCTTTCTGGCTAAGCCTTCCTTCTGTATCACTCCAAGCAGCTCCAGCGGAAGAAGCAGTCATGCCCAGTATTCTCGCTTTCTGAAAGAAATTGACCAGCTTATATTTCTCACACTTCTGGGGAACTGGGTGTAATCCAACCATCAAAACAGAAGACCTTGCAAGAAGCAGAGTCATCCTCCAGAAGGAACTTGGGAGATGATGGTGCAGATTATGAATCTGGGTTCATCCCAGTTCCAAAGGCCCAGAGAACTACGGAGTTGAGGCGGAGGCAGAGTGCCCCACCCCGGCATCCCCCACAAACAGACCACCAGCCAGCTGACACGTGTATTAACTCTCCACAATGAGGAAGAATCGTTCACAGCTGAGCAGGGCATTCATATGATCATTTAAGGATGTGTTTGCCTTATGTGTTGGCAAATATAATCAGTTAACTCCTAAATCCCCACAAACAGTCCTAGGCTGGACAGCAGAAATGAGCTGCATTTAGGCAGATGAAGACATCAGTCCCAGTAAATGAATCCATAGACCCGTCTAGCACCAACTATCATTAGCACTATATTAGGGGCTGCAAGGCTCCAAAGTAGAAAATGTGCAGAATGTCTACCCTTGTGTCACTGGGGAGGCAATTCCAGCACAGACACTCCAGTTAAATCTGAACTGCAGCTACAAGTGATGGTATGAACTACAACAGTCAAAAAAGACCTTATGAGGGGGCAGGGCTGAAGCTGGGCCTTGAAGGATGGATGAAATTTCCATAGAGAATAAGGAAGACAGGGGGCCTCCAAGTGAAAGACGCATGAAAAACGAGCAGGGTCCTGGATCAGCGGGGTGTATTCAGAGCACATCTCCAGATGCACCATACATGCTCACAGTCCCTTGCCTTTGTGTAGCAGGGTGCCCCAGCCAGACATGTGCCCTTCACCCCATGTACATTTACATGTCCTTCAATGCCCACCTCAAATGGGCGTTATACCTCTTCTATAAAGCTTTCCCTGGTATCAGGAGTCAAAATTAACCAGGGATCTTTTCACATTGCTGTTTTTTCCCCTTTGGTCCTTCTGTCACTAGAACTCATCTCATTCTACCTTACAGCATCAATAATTATTTGTTTTCCTCACTACACTGTATATGTGGGAATTAGAAGCCGGCTGGGTGTGATGGCCCATGCCTGTAATCCCAGCACTTTGGGAGGCCAAGGTGGGCTGATCACCTAAGGTCAGGAGTTCAAGACCAGCCTGGCCAACATGGTAAAACCTGGTCTCTACTAAAAATACAAAATTAGCCCGGTGTGGTGGGACGCACGTGTAGTCTGAGCTACTCTGAAGGCTGAGACAGGAAAATCGCTTGAACCTGGGAAGTGGAGGTTGCAGTGGGCCGAGATCATGCCACTGCACTCCAGCCTGGGAGAGACAGAGTGAAACTCCATCCCCACCCCCTGCAAAAAAAAAGAGAGAGAGAGAGAGAGAGAGAGAGAGAAAGCTAGAAGTCAATAATCATGTTGCAATCAAATTCTGGCAAGCACTAAATATCAGGATATGGTGGCTCACGCCTGTAATTCCAGCACTTTAGAAGGCCAAGGATGGTGGATTACTTGAGGTCAGTAATTCAAGAGGAGCCTGGTCAACAAGGTGAAACCCCGTCTCTATTTAAAATACAAAAAATTAGCTGAGCGTGGTGGCGCACACCTATAATCCCACCTACTCAGAAGGCTGAGGGGGAGAATTGCTTGAACCTAGGGGGTGGAGGTTGCAGTGAGCTGAGATCCTGCCACTGCACTCCAGCCTGGGCAACAGAGTGAGACCCTGTCTCAAAAAAAGTTAAAATAAAATAAAAATAAATATCAGGATGCATACATCAGAGGCTGTTCCTGGTGTAAGGGCATTTTGGAGGGAAAAGACTTTCAGAGTTAGGCAGACCACCTAAGAGGCCAGCTGAAGCACCAAACCAATTGTAAGGAGGTGAAAGGCAGCGTCTCAGAAAGATACGTGCAGGAAGAAGTAAAGAGGCTTGGTCGTAAAGGATGGAGGAGTTCCGAAGTGACAATGAACAGGCTGCGTTTCTCCTAAAATAAAACCAGTCCTCACTCTGTGGATGCGTTGAACACTCACTCCTGAACATCTTTATTCTCTAACTTGCCCTCTTCCTCTTCCTAATATGCTCACTCAAGTAAAATTCCTAGTGTCCTAATGCCCCTGTGCGTATTGTCGAAAATAAAAATAAAAATCAGAAGCGGGTTAGATCTGTTAGGTCTTCCAGAAGCATGAAGCCAGAGCCCAGGATTCTGAAGGTGGTCTTTGGGCTCAGGACACCCTGCTCTTGTCTCTCCTTTCCCTGTTTCTCTCCTACGAATATCCTGATTCACGAACACGTTAAATAGTCAGCCTTCTCTCTAGGGCTCAGTTCTTAGATTTCCTCCGTAAAATGCATGTGATCTTATTTTCCTCAGTTTTCCAGATGAACTAGATGGTGACCAAGAGGTGTATAAAATCAAAGCACCACGGAACAGGATCTTGTAACAAGCCAAAGCAGGCCAGTTTTTTAAAATGTGCATCAAAATGGAAATCTCGGAGACAGAGCCCTCTGGTGGAAAGCTCTAGTAGGTCAGGACAGTCTCTCTGCCTGCAGACACCTTGGGCTTTACTGAGGGACTCAACTGAGAAAATGAGGAACACTGCAGCTCATGTTCCTCAGAAGAAGAAAGTGAAGCTGGTTTAAAATGTGATTTAAAAAAAATCTATAGAACACTCCAAACTGCACAGACTAGGAGAAAATGGCCTGGTTGGGCCAGCTTGGAAACCAGGCACAGGCAGGAAGGAGCCTGTCTGGTTTGTGCTGTGTCCACAGAGAGCACTTCTTAGGTCCTGCCTGGAGAGAGGGAATGCTGGGCTATATTTTCTTCCAGACTCATTATTTTTCTTTTGTTTGACTTTTGTCTGAATTGCCCTTGATTTGTATAAATTTTCTCAAGAATAGTGACAGTTTCTACTAGTTGTAAAATGAAGCTTGAAGGCCTGGCACGGTGGCCCATGCCTATAAGCTCAGCACTTTGGGAGACCGAGGCGGGTGGCCTGATCACAAGGTCAGGAGTTCAAGACTGGCCTGGCCTACACCGTGAAGCCCCATCTCCACTAAAAATACAAAAAAATTAGCCAGGCCTGGTGGCACATGCCTGTAGTCCCAGCTACTCAGGAGACTGAAGCAAGAGAATTGCTTGAACCTGGGTGACAGAGGTTGCAGTGAACCAAGATCATGCCACTGCACTCCAGCCTGGGTGACAGACCAAGACTTTGTCTCAAAACAAAAGAAAGAAAGAAAAAATGAAGCTTGAAGAACAAAGGCAACATGAGGAACTATAATGAGTGGTCATAAACATGGGCTTTGACGGTAGAGTGCCTGGGTCTGAATCCCAGTTTCTTAGTCATGTGACCTTAGTCAAGTTACTTTAACTCCACTGTGCCTCAGTTTGTCCATCTGTAAAATGGGGATAACAATAGTTCCTACCTTATAGGGTTGTTGGGATTAAATGAGGTATTGCTTATACAGGAATGTGCCTCTGCATGGCCAAGTCCTGGATTTTTTTTTAATAAGCTGTTCTTATAGGCCTGAAACCTTCAGAAGATGCTAATCCAAATTTATAAAATAAGCTTCTTATAACAGAAATGCAGCTAGCACTGTGCAAAATTAATGTTGTATATCAAACTTTTAACTCTCATCCCTCCTTATTCAGATATATTTTTCTATAGGCAATGTTTGCTCCCCCATTATTATACCACAATCTGTTTACCTGATGCTATCCCTGTCTCCCCACTTAGACTGAGAAAACAGGGGATATATCCAAATAATGATAATAAATAATAATAATAATAATGAAGACCTCCTTGAAGGCAGAGAGCCTGTAAGAATCATTGAGGGTTTATTTTGTATACCAACTGCTAAACTAGATGCCTCATACATTGTTGTCAATACTCACGACAGCCCTGTAAAGTAGAAATTAATTCTTCCAGTTAACACTAAGTCTGATATAATGAATACCCTGGCAAAGTTGGAAAGCTGGGAAGACCAGAATTGAACTCAAGCCTTCTTGTCACCAAGGGCCATGCACTTGTCCTCTGCCATGCAGTTTCTTCTTACCTCCTGTGGATTCCTCATACCTGGCACTTAGCCTTACGTGTATATACACCTGCACTTTGCTTAACACATAACGGGTGGACCACAAATAGTTATTGAATGAATACTTGCATATTCCAATATTTTATGGTACTAAAAACAGCTCAAAGTAAATATATTAATATGTTAATTCCATTGCTATCTGGATAACCACTCAACTTTTCTGTTGAAAATGACCGTTTAATTAAAGAAGGTTGGATAGAGCTCTCTATATGGATTTTGGACAGACAGAGGTTCCAGGTCATAAATACTCTGATGAGTTAATATAAAATGAGAGAAACTGTAAATTTCCACTACTAAAAATCACAAGAATAACAGAAACAATTGTGCTGAACAATTTAGTGATTTAAAAAAACAGCTGTGAATGTTTAGACAAATAACTCCCACCCAAGTGTGAGAAGCCCTTGTAATTTTTCAAAATATATGAAAATGTTAATATATTTTGACAAGGGACCATTTAAAAAGTCCTGAATTCTGACTTAAAGAAGCAAAGTAATGACTAATACATTCTGTAGAGACTTGCAGACTTTGGGAATTCAGAAAGGAATGGGTGAGAATTATTAACTGTTGCTGGCTGATGGCCCAGACAGTCCTCAGCAGCCCTGCATAAGTCTCTGGGTTTGGGATGGATCAACTCTGTGACTGGAAAATGGCCAAATCTTTGCAAATAAGAAAGATTTTTCTTATAAGTTCTTATTGTAGGCAAATAATCACATAAATTAATTGTCAGAGAATTTTAAAATGCACATTATCTCAACTCTTTCATTTATAACTTGTATTTCCAACAGTTTATGGGTCATCTAAGCATAGATGTCAGACGTTACCTTGAACTGACAGGTCTATCTCTGACCTCCCAACTTGCTTTCCATCTGTTTTTCCTGTGCTAATGATTCACCATGATCAGAATAATTAACATTTATCCAGTGTCTACTGTGTACTAGTCCCTGTCCTGTCTTACATTTACTCATTTCAAGACCATAAGAAACATTAAAACTCATCTGCCTTCTCAAGAAGATACAGCCATCCTCTGTTTTACAAAGTAAGAAGCTGAGTCACAGAAAGGTGAAGTCTTTAAGGCTGAGTCACAGTAGCTCATCCCACTAAACAGAAAAGCCGGGATTCAACTCCAGGAGCTGGGTACAGAACTGCTATTCTTCACTCCTTCACCAATCAGCGGCTACCCAAGGAAGAAAACGTTTTCATCCTTGACTCCTTCATTCTCCCTGTCACCCCAGATATCCTCTACATCTAGTCAGAGAATAGGTCCTATCAATTTCAACTTCTCTATATGGCTTCTCTCAGCCATGTCCCCGTAATCAGCCTAATTCTCTAACACACCTTCCCTCTACATGCTCACTCCCTCAGATCATTGCTTTATCATGTGTCACCTGGGATGCTGTTAGGTAAAGAGTAATCTTTCTAAAACAAGGTTCTTATCACTTCACTTCCATACTAAATATTTTTCCTGGGGGACCATGCTCCTTAGCAGTCTGACCCATCAGACCTTCCAGGCTGTCTCCTGCCTAGTCCCCAGGCTCCAGCCACACAGAATTATCATGGGTCCACGCACCCACCAAATTCTCCCACATCTTTGCCCATGTTCTGTCTTCTGCCTGGAATGCCCTTCTCTCCCGTCTGTCTCTGGCTTTTTCATACTTCAAGGATCAGACTGAGTATTCCCTTTGTGTGGGCTTCCAAAACGTCCCATCCAAAGCTGTATATATAGCTCTCTATTTATACGTTAACAGCATTTGGTACACAAGTGCAGAGTAGTAGCTTTTATCACATTCTATGATAATTATGTAGCTATGGTATTTTCTTAGCTCTCTCTCCAACTGGTTAATAAGTTGTTTTGTCTCTGAGTGCCTAATGAACCTCAGTTCCTCAAAAAAAGTTTATTGATTAGTTCATTCCTAATTTGAACATGAAAATTATGTTCACTAGTGGCAAATGCCACTAACCCTATTCCAGAAGCTAGGTATCATGTTTGCAACAAGATATCTTATCCTCTCCACGTGTCGCCTTTTATTTTAGGCATTTGTAAATGTCTATTAATAAAGTATTGTTCATACATTTTACCTTGTAAGTGACTAAGAAATGAGACTACAGGCTCTATTTCAGCAGATAAACACAATAAATATCATTTTATAATGCATCTATTCTCTTTTGCGTTTTACCTTGTTTTGGTTTTGAGAGCAACAAAAATGAAGTAAGTAGATGAAACAGCAGAGATAGTTCACATGATAAAAGCCCTGTGCCG